CTCGAAAATAGCCTGGCCCTGAGCCATATAGAGCTTTAAAGGTAATAACCAACACCTTGAATTGGACCCGGAGACCAATAGGCAACCAGTGCAGCTTGCGGAGGATAGGTGTAATGTGTGTGTACCGAGGAACACCCGCTATCACTCACGTGGCTGCATTCTGGACCAACTGTAGTCTCCAATACTTTTCAAGGGTAGCCCCATGTAGAGCGCGTTGCAGTAGTCCAGGCGTGAGGTGACAAGGACATGAGTGACTGTAAGGAGAGCCTCCCGGTCCAGGTAGGGTCGCAACTGGTGCAACAGACGAACTTGTGCAAAGGTCCTCCCAGCCACAGCCGTCAAATGATGTTCCAATTTCAGCTGTGGATCAAGGAGGACACCAAAGTTGCGAACCCACTCCGAAGGGGGTATATTTTCCCCTGCTAGAGTCAACACTGGACAATTAACATGATCCTTGGGAGGCAATATCCAAAGCCACTCGGTCTTGTCAGGATTGAGCCTGAGTCTGTTAACCCCCATCCAGACCCTCACGGCTTCAAGGCAACGGCCCATCACATCAGCCACTTCACTGAGAGAGCTCGGGGAAGAGATATATAGCTGGGTATCATCAGCATACTGATTAAACCTCACCCCGTGCTGTCTGATGATCTCACCCAGCGGCTTCATGTAAATGTTAAATAGGAGGGGGGAGAGGACCTACCCCTGAGGCACCCCGCATTCAAGGGGCCTCGGGGTTGACCTCTGCCCCCCACCAGTACCGATTGCGACCGGCCAGAGAGGTAGGAGGAGAACCACCGTAAAACGGTGCCTCCCACTCCCACCCCTCCAAGTCATCGCAAAAGGATACCATGATCGATTGTATCAAAAGCCGCTGAGAGGTCAAGTAGCACCAAGACAGAGGAATAACCCCTGTCTTGGGCCCGCCAGAGATCATCCATCAGCGCGACCAAAGCAGTTTCTGTGCTGAAGCCGGGCCTGAAGCCAGATTGAAAAGGGTCTAGGTAATCCGCTTCATCCAGAGACCATTGGAGCTGGAGCGCAACCACTCTCTCTACAACCTTCCCCAAAAAGGGGAGATTGGAGACTGGACGGAAGTTATTTAAATCAGCCGGGTCCAGGGTAGGCTTCTTGAGAAGGGGCCTCACAACCGCTTCCTTCAAGGGTTGCGGGAAAGACCCTCCCTCAACGAAGCATTGATCAACACCTGGAGCCAGCCTCGTGTCATCTCCTTGGCGGCCGAGACCAACCAGGAAGGACACGGGTCCAGTAAACAAGTGGAGGCGCTCATCGCTCCCACCGCTCTGTCAACATCCTCAGCGGTCACAGACTCAAATTCATCCCATAAAACTGGGCTAAGACCTGCCCCGGTCATCTCAGAAGGCCCTGCCCAATCAGAGTCTAGGTCTGTCCGAATCCGAGCGATTTTATCTGATAGAAACTGCACAAATTCTTCCGCCCTACCCTGTAAGGGCTCCCCGGCTTCCCAAACGTAGAGCAGCGGGGTGAGATTCTGCAGACGCAATAAGTGCGGAAAAATGCAAACATTTTGCCGCTCATATCGCCACTAAATAAGTCCTAATATAGGCTCTTAAAAGTGTCCGGTCGGGTTCGGAGTTACTAGCCCTCCAGATTGAACTGACTGACCTCAATTCTAAACGTTATGTCTTGAGGAAACCAGGAAAATCATTACCTGCTCAATATCATCCCAACAGTGAAGCATGGTGGTGGCAGCATAATGCTGTGGGGGTATTTTTCAGCAGCAGGAACTGGGAGACTGATCAGGGTTGAAGAAAAGCTGAATGGAGCAAAATACAGGGATATCCTCAATGAAAATCTGTTCCACAGCACTCAGGAACTCACACTGGGCTGAAGGTTCACTTTCCAACATGACAATGATCCTAAACACACAGCCAAGATAACACAGGAGTGGCTTAGGAACAACTCTGTGAATGTCCTAGAATGGCTCAGCCATGGCCCTGACTTGAACTCTATTGAACATCTCTGGAGGGACCTGAAAATGGCTGTTCACCAGCGGTCACTATCCAACTTGACTGAGCTTGAGAGGATTTTGCAAGGAAGAATGGCAGAAAATCCCCCAGTCAGGGTTGCAAAGCTTGTCCCGAAATACGCAAAAAGACTTGAGGCTGTAATTACTGCCAAAGGTGCTTCAACAAAGTACCGAATGAAGGTTTTTGCCAACCCTCACAGCTTTCTGGAAGCTGGATAAATGGATTTGTGTCTTTGTTTATTAGATTTGTTAAGGCCACCCAACCCCAAAAGAATTCTGGATAGCCTATAGTATACCCTACACAGAGAACAAAACTGTCTGGGCCAAAACAACGATCCCAATATTCAGAGAAAAGATTCAATGGGAACTCCATAGATACCCTAATCTAGACCAGAGAACAAAAACTAATCTCAAGGTATTTCTGAAACCTTAGGAGAATGGGAATCATGAGTTCCCAAAGGGCAGGGGATGCAGCAGGGACTTGTTCCATAGAGATTCGGGTAGAGGTAGGATAGTTGCCTTGAGCTGTCATGTTACATTAAGTAGTCATTGTAATTAAGAATTTTCTTTTAATTGTGATATTTTTATGTTCTAATAAATCTTAACAGTTGGAAGTCTAGTATGTGAATATGGTGGTATATAATTCATGTAGAGAGAGACTTGCTCTTAATTTTGCATAGCTCATCCTATGCATATGAAACATCAACCATCCAATTTCATTATGACTACCAAAATGCTGCTAATTCTCTTGCATCATTATAGAGAATTTGAGGGGATTTTACTTATCCCCTAAAATTCTCTATAATGATACTTATTTATTTTCATTTGTATTAAGTTTCTTTCTCTACTGCAGTTTTATCCCATATAGAACCTTGTAGTTTCCAGGTAGCAGAATAGAATATCAACAGCATCTCCCTCACAAACTGAATAATGATGGTATCATTAACATGCTACAAATGATTTCTCCCAGCAATTTCATATGAATGTTAAAAAATGGAGAGAGGACCGTGTCCTATGAAACCCCAGGTTGATCTCTCTTCCCCCACTACAAGACACCGAACCTGTCCACAGAGAAATGAACAGAACCACTATAAAACTGTGCTCTCCATGCTCATTGCTGAGTAGTATAAAAGGACAATGTAAAAAAGGACAGTGATGACTTGAAAAAAACATGTGGCAACATTAGTAAAACATAAAATAGTTCAGAAAACAGGGAAGTGAGAAAGAAATTCAAGATTGTCCCACATTGATTCTCTTTGGTAGAAGGGGGATGGGAGGGGAAAAGCTGTCAGGCTTTCAAGATTCTATTATAACTTATAACATTTAATCAGAGTTCTAGTATTTCTTTTAGTGTCTGTCATATCCTACCTCTCCTGCAGACAAGGAGAACTGCATTACCCCTCTAGGCCTCAATAGAACTCATCCAGGAGAGTGATCAGTATCACCTCAGTCCCATACCCAACCCTGAACTCAGACTGAAAAGTCTCTAGAAAAGCCACTTCCTCTAGGGCAGGAGTCCCCAACCCCGGGTCCATGGACCGGCACCGATCTGCGGCATGCCAGAAACCAGTCCGTGCAAACAAGTGAGGCCCCATCCGCAGGATGCACGCAACATATAAAACCACGCCCCCTCTGGTCTGCAAAAAAACCCTCTCTCTACGAAACCGATCCCTGATGCCCAAACGGTTGGGAACCTCTTCTCTAGGGTAATGTGTCACCACCATTTTAATAGTCTTCATCCCAAAAGGCTGGAGATCAGACAATAGTTATTCAACACCACAAGACTGAGCAGGAGTCCAGCCTACATGTGCTAGAGGATAGTCTAATTCAGCAGAACTTCACTAGTTCTACTTTCTCAGAATTCACAGTGCAAAAAGAATTACAGGCAGCAGAGCTAGCCATTAATACAGACTTTATCCATTAAGAGCCAAAATGACTTTGCTGGCAAAGTGCTATGCAAATAATTATAGTGGCCAGATGAGCAATCTGTCTAATGATTCCCCATTAAAGAGAGTTAGTAAAGTTGAACAGGGCCACTTGACAATAGTCTGCCACTTCAATAAAGAAGGAAAAATAAGTGTGTTTCACCTGCCTAATACCACAGTGAAGGTCCCAAAATTATATACTTAAGATTGGTTGAATGTACTTTTTGAATTTCTCCAATATTTCAAGTGTTGCTTCTGATGTTTCATTTTCAAGAGAGTCTCAGCAGCCAAGTTGTCAGCCAGGAAATTGCACCTAGAAAGAGGTTGCTTGTGGGCAATAGACTCCAGTATCCACTTTGGTTCCAATGTCAATGGTCTATCGGGCACTAAACTGAACTGTTTACCAGTGAGCTGGGAAACTCCCCAACAGGATCCATTAGGGACTGGGGATGGGCCATCCAAATCAGGCCTGCTGCCCTGTGATTATCATGTGTTACTCTTACTGTAACTGAATCAAGTTACAATTGATCCAATTGCATGATCTAATCATAGCAACAGAATAATGAAAAGCCTCTCCATTTCCAGATAATATAAGATCTTCTCTAAAGCAAACACAAGATCTAAATTATGACCGCCCATATAAATTGGCCTAAAGATGACTTCAGACAAGCCCGTGGTTGTCATGAAAGCCATGAATTCCTGAGTTTTTCCAGAGCAAGGACCGGAGGTAAGGAGACTGACGTCACCCAGCACCAAAAGGAGAAGATTTTCCACCACCATCCACTTTCAAACACCATCAGCTCCAGCAGATCAGGAAGGGATTATAGTAATGCCATGTGACAAATATTCCTTATGAGAACCAATTTTCTTTAGCACAAATGGTAAGGCAGCCGAAAAATTTGATAAGTTGCTTTGAACTTGCCACAGTAGAAAAGCCAAATAGAAAATCAAATAAGTAAGTTCAGTGCAGTCATTACTTCCAATTTAGAGCTCTTTTTAACAACATATTTTCTCAGAAACAAAAGGATTTTATTTGGAATATTGATATACTATTATTTGTTTCTTAGATGGACCCAGTGCAAAAAGCTGTCATAAACCACACATTTGGCGTGTCACTTCCTCTAAAGAAGAAACAAGTCATCTCCTGCAGTGTGTGTCAACTTCGCTTTAATTCTGATGTGAGTATTTTTAATTACTGTTCAGTGTATGCTGTGTGTGTGTGTGTGTGTGTGTGTGTGTGTGTAGGTAAGAAGGTAGGTAGGTAAGTAGATAGGTCGGTAGGAAGCTTAGTCAAGGTAGCCGAGGTTAAAATATACAAAGAACGGTTGTAGGAATTGGATAGGTCTAGTTTAATGAAAAGCAAGATTAGGGGTAACATGATAGCAGTGTTCCAATATCTCAGAGGAGTCAACTTATTATCCAAAGTACATGAAGGCAGGACAAGAAGCAATGGATGGAAACTAATCAAAGAGAGAAGCAACCTAGAACTAAGGAGAAATTTCCTGACAGTTAGAACAATTAATCAGTGAAACGACTGGCTTCCAGAAGTTGTGGATGCTCCAACTATGGATGTTTTAAAGAAGAGATTGGACAGCCATTTGTCTCAAATGCTAAAGAGTTTCCTGCCTGAGCAAGGAGTTGGAATAGAAGACCTCCAAAGTCCCTTCCAACTCTGTTATTCTGTTGACTCTGTGACTGGCCTAGATAAGTCCCTGCAGTTTTCTTGGAAACGTTTTCAGAGGTAGTTTGCCCCAAGGTCACCCAGCTGGCTTTCTGTCTCAGGAAGGACTAGAACTCCCACTATCCTGGTTTCTATCCTGGTATTTCCACCATTATACCAAACTGATTCATATATCAGTAGATAAAAAAAGATTACATTTCTTAAATACATTCAGTAGTCCTTCCAGTATCTTCTAGATCAGTGGTTCTCAACCTGTGGGTCGGGACCCCATTTGGGGTCGAACAACCATTTCACGGGGGTCGCCAAACAATGCAGTCCGCCATTTTTTCCCCCTTTTTCTTAGCTGTGCTACTCCCTTTTATTCTATTGGCTTTTGAAAGCCAATAGAATAGACTCTCTTGAATAGAGTAATTCTATTGGCTTTCAAAAGCCAATAGGAATTGTCCAGGCTGTCTCTGCCCTGCTGAGCCCGCCAAAAGTCCCATTCTGCAAACGGTGCTGTACCGGTTGAGTAGTCCTCGACTTACGACCGGTTGGGGGTTGCGGCATTAAAAAGGTTGAGAACCATTGTGCTAGATGCTAGCTTTATTAGACTGCCTTAATATGTACAGATGAATCTTTCATGTAGAATAAGCAAAATTTACTAACAATACATACATTTTCCCTGCTACTTCAGTCAGTTTTAAACTGCAGGCAGAAATGCTGTGGTGAAAATTAGTTTTTAAGACAAATGGTCAAAGAATCATTGTAGGATGATTTTTAATTAAATACAGTAGAGAATTTTGCTAGCAGTACAATCCAAAATATATTTATTCCACAGTAAGTCTTTTTGACTTCAGGTTTGCTCGTGTGTAAATAGGCAAGGGGAAGTAATCAAAATATTATTTTGTTTATTGCATGCTAACCAATAAATGTAATGAATAAATAAATAATAAAAATATTTTTAAAATACGTTTTATGAACAAAGTCCTTTCTTTATATTTGGCTTTTACTTTAATAATGATACTAAATATCCAAAAGTAAATGCTGAAAATAACTAGTGGGTTAATGAATCCCATGAAAAGGTCACATTATTCAAATCTGTACTACTTGAAGTGATATTTCTAAGGAAAATATGGCAATTGTTTCCAGTTCAATAATAGTAAAATAAATTGTAAGCATATTTTATATGTATATTAATGAAATATTACAATAAAGATTAAAAAGTATGTACTTCTAATTTAAATTTTTAAATTAAATTAAACAGAGTAATTATATAAAGCAAAATATAACCAAAAAAATCTGCCATATATTTAGACATTTCAACATCTTATCCTATTATAGCTTTTCCTGGACCATGTTCGTGTTGTTTAATTGCATCAAAATTTTGCTGTAAAGTAATAAACCTCTTCATTTTAAATTTATACTGTTTTCCTCTAACAGAATCTTCCTTTTCCCCCATTTTATACATATAAAGATTAATAGCATTTAAAATTGCACATGCACTTGCCTCAATTCTAATGTCATAGGTAGACATTAACTGATTAACTGCATTAAACACAACTTGGTATCAATTTACAATTCATACTAAACTGAATATTATATTATTTGAAGTCACCCTAATTGCCACCTACCTGTAATTCCATTCTGATTGGGAAATCTGTAGCACTGCACATTTGTTGAATTTCTGGATCCTACATTTTTCACCATGGCCATACTGCCCAGGGAAGATGGGGATTGTTATTCATCAACAGCTGAAATTCTCTATCCCAAAATCCATTTCATTTATTTTCTATTTTCTGCTATCCTGTAATATTTAGCATATGCCACTGAGAATAATTATTGAGTTGCCTTGGGTTTCTTCTCCATCTGCATCTCCACTTAACATTTTGTTTGCGCGGCATTTCTGAAAACTTCTGCTCTCACTAATTCTTATGGGCTTGATGTTTCTTATTGCAGATAGGGCTGGGAGGACAGTGGGGGTTGGCTACAAAAGTTTGGAAAATAATTTTTCCCATATTTTTATGTAGGACACTAACTCTAAACAAGGATGGATTCACATGGTGCTCAAATGGCTTTGTTAGAATGGCTCTAATATCATAAAATATGATTTGATGTGACATTGAATATGTGCATGATATTTTTATTTTGATAGTGTATCCAAATTATCTTACTATAGAGATTAGTCAGTCAGAAATCATGACATCTAGGTAAACATATAGCTTTCCCTTTGTTCTTCTGAAATACAGCTAGGTTTTTCCGTGTGTGTGTGGGGGGGGGGGGAGATGCAACAGTACCAAAATTTATATTCATTTTGTGAAAGAATGCAAAGATAGAAAAAATATATTTTGGAAGTACCTAAGATGTTCACGATCTTTTTCTAGACTTTTTAGAAACATGTGGTTGGCTGATTGCATTTAGAAACAGAATTTTTAATATATTTATTCATGCATTTAATTTATTAAATATTAATGTAAGTTTCACCCTGCTCACTATTGGAGTGCAGCCCTCAGCATGCCTCAGTGAGATTTTAGACTGAATCAGACTTTAGACCAAAAAAGATTGCCCATCTCTAATTTAAATATTTGCATCAACCAAAATAAGAATTGTACTTTGAATACACTTGGCTTACATCATATTGGAAGGAATAACTTAGAAGAACACCTAAATATAAATTCTACAATAGAGCCCAAAGGATGTTTAAATAAATTCTAATGTATTCTGTTGCTGTAAGGAAAGTATTTTAAAAGTACAAAAATGGTTTTCATCTAATTAACAATTTTCTTTCAGCAGTTAACTTCCAGGTAATTAATTACCTTGTATACTACATTTAAAACAGCACTAGGCTTCTTACTGAAATTGCCATTAATACTGTTTATTACATTAATGCAGATGTGAAAAATGACATAAAGAACAAGAATGTAGTTCTATAAGTCACATCTATGAATTAAGAGTTGGAATAACCAACTCAGACTTTTAGGGGATGAGGACCTTTTAAAAAATGAGAAAACAGAAGGCTTTACTAAGCAAGTAAATAATGGGAAAATAATTGACTAAAAACATCAAAGTGTGAGGGACATTTAAAATTTTATGAGGCAGCCATGTTGTCTATGCTTTTTTTTTTCTTTCAAGAGAGGCTTGCCATTCTGTTCAGCAAATGCTTTCTGATATTTTTAAAATCTCTTCCAGGTATGTTTGACTAGGGGACAAAAGTGTGAAGAATACCTGATCATTCTATCCCCCTGCACAGAACAGCATAGTAGAATTCTGAGGGTGGTTTGACAGCATCCTCCAAAGCAGAAATGGTTCAGGATATTCTTGTCTATGAGTGTTTGATATATCTGATCACTCTGTAATATGTATTAGGTATCCCAAGAACATTAAACAGAGAAACTTAGGGTGTTTGTGTGTTCGTTTTGTTTTGTTTTTGTGAAAAAGTTTACTGGAAGGCATAGTACTTCATCACAAAGTAACACTATTCCAAGATTTTAAAAATAACTGTCAGTCTTTGCTAAATGCAGTGCTTTGTACTTACATAAAGTAACAGAATTAGGATTTTATATTTTGATTTTTACACATGCTGTGCTCATTTTGGATTGACCTAATATTATAGCTGAAACCATATGTTATAGTACATGCTATAATGACTTACCTTAAGGCTTAGATTTATACAGATAGTCCTTGATTTATAACCACAATTGAGTCCAAAATTCCCATTGCTAAGTCCATAAGACAGTTGTGAACTAAGTGCAACCTTACAACCTTTCTTGCCACAGTTGTTAAGTGAATCACTGCAGTTGTTAAATTAGTAACATGGTTATTGAGTCCATCTGGCTTCCCATTGACTTTTCTAGGCCTGAAGTTCACAAAAGGGATTGCATGACCCCCATACACTGCAACCATAATAAACAGATGTCAAGCATCTGAATTCTGATCACGTGACCATGGGGATGTGCAAAGATCGTAAGTGTGAAAAACGGTCGTGTCACTTTTTTCAGTCCTGTTGTAACTTCAAACGGTCACTAAATAAATGGTTGTAAGTCAAGGACTACCTGCATCCTGCCATGCCACTCCATGGGATACAGGATGATTTCTAACAACAAAATTTCAATTAAAGTGGCATAAAAATAAGCTTATGTTATTCAATATCAATATAAACTTATTTTTAACATTTTAATAACAATGGGAAATTGTGCCATAAATTTTCAGCAATCATGGTGAAAAAGCTTTAGAGTTGGATGCAATATAAAGCTTTAGAGTTGGATGCACGTCCAATGGCAGTTGATCATCACAGCATCATAATATACAGGATCAATATTTTTCATATTCTGTCATTCTCCTTATTAATGTTTTTCTATTCTGCCAAACCCTTCCTATTCCTTTCTACCCCTAGCTTACTCTAGACAACTAACAGAACAACAGTAACAAAAATGTTTAACATGATTTTGTTGGCCTCAACCCTGTTGGCCTGTGGAAAGGTTTTATAAACTTGACTATTCATAGAATAAATAGAACCAT